AACAATAACTTCAGTTTATCTGAGTTTAACATTAGAAAATTACAAGTCATCCAGGTTTTAACATCCTGAAGGCACATTTGAAGTTTAGCTAACGGATTAGTTTCATCTGGCTTAATCGATAGATATCACTGAGTATTGTTGCGTTTTTTCAGATTTTGAGAAAGGAGAGGCTGGATCCGATGAAAATTAACAAGAAATTTAATTAAAAAATAGGTGAATAAAAGATGGCATTAGAGAACAAACATGAAACAAAAACACTGCAGTGGACTGGAAAGTTGTTCCTCTTTTCAGATTTACAGCTTACAGTCCTGATTCTCACAAAATGAAATTAATATCCTCCAGGTATGTGGGCGGGTCTTTTCCTCCAAATGGCTCAGGACCATAGCCACTCAACAGTATCATCTGCATAACAATGAAGGTTTATGGAGTGTTTCCTGATAATATTGCCTAAAGGAAGCATATATAAAGTGAAGAGGATTGGCCTGAGGGCAGATCCTTGTGGCACTCCATGACTAACTTTGGCGTGCATGGAGGACTCATCGTTAACATGTACAAACTGAAATCGATCTGATAAATAGGACTTAAACCAGCTTAGAGCGGTTCCTTTAATGCCAATGAAATGTTCCAGTCTCTGTAATAGGATCTGATGGTCAATGGTATCAAATGCAGCCTTAAAATCTAGTAAAACCAGTACTGAGACAAGTCCTTTGTCTGATGCAATTAGGAGGTCATTAGTAATTTTCACCAGTGCTTTCTCTGTGCTATGATGAACTCTAAATCCTGACTGAAAATCCTCAAATAAACTATTGCTCTGTAGAAAGTCACACAGCTGACAGATCAGGAATTTGGAAAAGACAGACAGGTGGACTAAATCCAGAACAGAAGACAATAGACCAGGATGGAAGAAACCGAACAAACAATACATCTAAAAGGGAAACAATGAACTTAAGAACACAGAACTAAGGGTCAGAACAAAGAACTAAGACACTGAACTACACACTAAGACATAGGACTAAGAATTAAGACAGGGAAGCAGAACTACAGACTAAGACATGAACTAGGACATAACAGGGGATGGTGAAAACAGATGTAGACCAAACATAAAATCACCATAAGAATAAACAAGGCAGATCAGTAAAACACAAGACATGGAACAAAAAAACCCGCAAATAATACCTGAAATCCTCAAACCATGACAAAATTAAATTTCAAGTTATGCTATTCAGATTCAAAAACAATACAAATTCAAATATGCTATATGGTCTTTGCTTCCGGCGCTGGCGCGAGCAGGATGCTGATCCAGTAGCTCCGTACGTGTCGTGTTGTTTTGTTTTATATACTTTTAAGTGTGTTTTTTTTTTTTTTTTAAACTTTAACTCTTTATATAACACTAGCTGTGTAAAACTTTATATATCCTATGGATACAATTACTCTTTAGGGACAACATAGCAGTGGACAACTTGTTTATTCAAGGGAGAAGCTGCTCCAAACAATGGGACAACCTGTCGTGTGGAGCTGAGGAAGAGGCACCGAGGCTGCAGAGCCGAAGCGAAGGTGAAGGCTAGGCTAGCGGCTAAGCGGTGGAAGTACAAGCCCTCGGTTCCGTCGATAGTGATGGGGAATGTGAACTGTCTGACCAACAAGATGGACGAGCTGGCTGCCCTTGTGAGGACGAAACAGGACGTTCAGGGAGTGCAGTTTACTTTGCCTCTCTGAAACCTGGCTAACCCAGAACACCCCGGACGCTAATGTGGATCTACCTGGATTCACTACAGTGAGAGCGGACCGGGACTGTGGACGCAGCGGCAAAAGCAAAGGAGGGGGACTCGCGCTGTTTATCGACAACAGATGGTAGAAGGAAGAAGAGGATGGCAGTCAAGGATGGTGACAGGGATGAGCTGAAGCGCGAACATGGGGAACACAAGGTCCACCTGAGAGAGGCGAAGGAGGACTACAGAAGGAAGGTAGAACAGAAGCTGCAGCACAGCAACATGCAGGAGCTCTGGGATGGCTGAATACCTCCAAGACCAAGGAGATGGTGGTGGACTTCAGAAGGAAGAAATCACATCTCCAACCTGTGTCCATCGAGGGGGTCGATGTGGAGGTGGTCAGGATTTACAAATATCTGGGGCTGTAGCTGGATGACAAGCTGGACTGGACAGCAAATATGGACACTCTCCACAGGAAAGGGCAGAGCCGTCTGTACTTCCTGAGAAGGCTGGGGTCCTTCAACATCTGCAAAAAACTGCTGCAAATGTTTTATCGGTCTGTGGTGGCCAGCGTCCTCTTTTATGCTGTAGTTTGCTGGGGTGGAAGCAGCAAGAAGAGAGCTGCCGGTCGACTGCACAGACTGGTGAGGAGAGCTGGCTCAGTGGTGGGCTCAGAGCTGGACTCTCTGGTGACAGTGGCAGAAAGAAGGACCCTGGACAAACTGCTGTCCATACTGGACAACGCCCACCACCCTCTGACAACACCTTCATCGGGCAGAGGAGTGTGTTCAGTGGCAAGACTGCTGTCCAAGCCCAGCTCCACTTACTTCCATTTGCACTCCATCTGTACTGTTTACTTCCATCTGCATTCCATTTGCACCTTTTACTGTTTTGCACTGTGGCTACTGTGTTATATTTTTATTTTTATTTTATTTTAATATAGGTTTAATGTATGTATATTTTGTATGCTACTGGATACTTGAATTTCCCTCTGGATAAATAAAGTATCTATCTATTGTAGCAAACCTAGATTTAGTTATGCATTTTAATAAATTTATGAGAATTAATACCCAATTATGAATTTTAATTTCATAAAATCAAATTTTATTCCTCGTTTCAGGGCACCACCAGAATTGTTATAAACCTAGAGTCTCCGGACCTCTAGGTAGTTTTAATAATTATACAAATATTACTAGTGATCAGTTAATAATTGCTCAATTATCTTAAATCAGTCAGTCTCATATCTAAAGGGTCAATTCTCTTGGCAGGGACGTAGAAATAGGCAACACACACAGTTCTTGATTATATTACAGTGAATTTATTCTCTAATGTGATAAAAAGATGGTTGAATACCGGGAAAATAAACAATTGCTGAACAATGAGAAACGGAGGTTCGATTGTGGGAAGCATTTGACTCATACGGCATAGAAGAACTATTGAAAGTAAGCTAACGCTATGAGTTTAGGAGTTAAAAGGAAATCTGACCACAGAATGTGTGTTAAGTCTTACGGCTTGTCGGCCTGCTTTAGCCTGTTGCTGGTCCCACGCTAGCTGCCCGATCCTGGCTTTTTGCTAGGGATTCTCCGGGGTTCTCCGTGTCTGATTGAAAACGCCTCCTCCGTCTGGCAATTCGGCTGTTTTCAGGTTTCCTTCGTTGCCGCTGGCGAGACCACGCGGCTTGGTCTGACCTCGGTGAAGGTGGCTCGACGAAAAAGGCTTAAAATGGAACTTGGTCGTTCCTGAATTAGTCCAGTGTAACTTAACGGACTGATAACTTTTAACAAAACAAAAAACAAAAGAAATAAAGAAAATAAAACAAACTGAGGGGCAGATCGATGTCTCGGCACTTCACATGTGTAGCTTCAAGCGAAACAAAAGGCCTGTTTCGCTGGTCGACTCTGAGGGCGTTGCCTGGCGAAGCACGCCGAAGCGTGCGGAAGCGTCCAGAGAGAGCCGAGGGGAAGAGCGGAGAGCGAAGAGAGAAGAGAGAACAAGCGATGTCGCGTGTCGCTATTTTGTTGCCTGGGGCGTGGTTCCCCAGGGGGCGTCCTTTCTAAACTTAAGGTCTAAAGAAAAGAAATCTATTTGCACGTATTATAATCAAATATTTTCCACAATCGAACCTCAATGGTCAAACGGTTGTACTGTTTTAAGTTAAGCATTTGGTAACAGGAAACAGTTGTCACATTATTGGTCAGGATATTTATACATTTAACGGCATTTCCAACGAGGGCATGTAATACTTATTTCGTCCACTTGGGGGAGCTCAGGTTACATGAGGAAAGCTTAGATTAATCCAAGATCATCTCTCCTTAGGAACTGGGGAATATTGTTGATTCATCCTTAAATTCAAGCTGGCGATTAAGAGTATAGTAAGACATTTCTTTATCATCATTTCTAAAGGAATTTTGTAGTAAAGTATTATGAACAAGCATTAATTACATTAGATGGAGTGTCTTGCTGAAAATAAAAACTGCAAAAGTAACTTTCTTTTCAGCACTAATATCAACAACAGATAGCAACAACATGTTAACTACTCAAATAGAGGCAAACATAATCAAGTAACTAAAGATTTAATTAAACTTAATTAAATGCTTTGAGTCTTTGGAGACTGCAGTCCTTGGTCATCCAAAGTTCGGCTACCTGGGTCATGTCACACTTGGGTGAACAAGGTCAGTTGCCACGGAAACATGTGTGGAGGGGGGCAGTTTTGATAGGCTGTTCAGGGAAATGATAATCGCTGGTTCGTGTCCCTTTGTCAGTTTAACAGTCAGGCCCCGTGTTATCAGCGTCGGAATCAAAAGGGTGCCAGTTTTATGGTCAGGGATAGCACTTAAAGAAAGCAACTTTGACCCCCCCCTTCTTCTCTGGGGGACGAGAGAGGAATTTGGAGTAGCTCCAAATTTATTCAATATAGAATGCACAAATCCACACCGTTGTTCACTACACTATCTATCTATCTATCTATCTATCTATCTATCTATTTATCTATCTACTGAAATTGAGTTTTTTAATACAATTATTCAAGTTCAGCAATTCACATTCAGATCTAAATTATTCAAATTCAGATTCTACTAACAAAAATATCTGCACATATCTTAGTTTCATTAACCTGACTTTTATCCACGTTTGCCCTTCACAAATCTAACTTTAGGAACTCTAACTAAAAAATAAATGGCAGTATATACCGTATGGCTTGAGAATTTTGGCCTCATTACAACAATTGTGTGAAAATTCAATCACCATGCATGTTAAATGCACATCACACGTGTTTGTATTCCTGTTTGATAGGTCCTACTATGCTGACATCTTAACAGAGCCTGCGACCATGGACCATGACTATGACCTGGATGAGTTCCCTCACACTTATTCCCCACTTCAATCCCTATAGAGAAAGTAGGTATTGCCACACACAAACGCACGTTACAGTTGCCAGTGAGACATACTGTATATGTTTAAAAGTATACAGTAGGATAAGTAAGTAAGTAGCCTACTATCAAGCTTTAAGTGTCTCCAGAGGGAGCTGTGTGAAGTCTGACAAATGTCCTCAAGTGAAGAACCACGTAAAGTCAAGTCAAACACAATTCACGTATAATCAGGATAAGCACTCTAATGTTTTCAAAATAGATCTGAAAGATGATTCTGACTCTGATGTCATCAGGCAAGTTGTTTCAGTCGCTGTACCATGACTTGGTCTCAAGCTTGACAGAACCTGACACTGCACATGCTTTAGTGTCAAACAGGGAATGAAATTAGCACCCGCCACGCGTGGGTAAATTGGTGGCGGTAGCAGGTAAAATCGTTGGGCCATCCGTCACTTTGGTGGACAGGGAAAATGCAACAACAGAAAGACACGTGTAGTACGGTTAGAATATTGTGGCAATCGGCGCACACACCTGCGTCTCACACACAGACAACCACCAGTCAGCTGAGGAAATATCTGTGAAATCCTGCATGTATATTGCTTGTCTGTTTTGAATAATACAGAAGATTAAAAATAATCGCATATTAAATATTAGATTATTTTCCAAAATCACTCAGCCCTAGTTTAAAGTGCTTAAGTCAATCTCAGTCATTATGTTCTGTACCATTACATGTATTCATTTAGCTGACGATTTTATCCAAAGCGACTTACAATTGCTATATATGTCAGAGGTCGCACGCCTCTGGAGCAACTAGGGGTTAAGTGTCTTGCTCAGGGACACAATGGTGGATGTGTCACAGTGGGGGATTGAAGCTGGGTCTCTCACACCAAAGGCATGTATCTTATCCATTGCGCTATCAACACCCCCGTGTACCAAAAAAGAATTAAAGTTTACATGGCACAGTATCCTGGTTTCTATTTGAGTACTAGCATATCCATGTTTCTGAAATCAGGCTATAGTGTTTACATGCACAGCAGTAATCACGATACTCCAAAAACCCTCATCACTAGTGCACATGTGAAATGAAATTCTGTCAGATATCAGGAAAGGATCAGGTGCTTATACATTGTTCATATTAGAGGTATGTTTTTTTTTTATGTTTAATGTTCATTTGTTAAAGGAGGCAAAGGCTGTTTGTGACTGTGTTTGAAGAAATAATAATGTAACTTTCTTGCCTGTGACCTGACCCTGGATAAGTGGTATTTACAGTCCCCTCCTAAAGTATTGGAATGGTAAGGCAAATTCCTTTATTTTTGTTGTTCACTGAAGACATTTGGGTTCATGATCAAAAGATGAGTATGAGACAAGAGTTCAGAATTTCAGCTCTCATTTCCTGGTATTTACATCTAGATGTGTGATCCGAGGACGATGGGGGATGCTGGAACCAATATTTTGGAGATGTGATTTCTCTCATCCGTCTCTTGATCTTTCGCTCTCTCTTCCTCATTAACAAAGCTGCACAAATCTGTCCAATGTCGGAGACCCAGCTATTAAAAGTTATTAGCAAGCATGTAAGGAGCCTAGCTAATAAGGAGCGCTAAGTTAATGTTAGAATACAGCTGGGTTTTCGAGGCTAGCAAGCTGTATCTGCGCCACAGTTACACTCATCATTCTGTGGAAAACTGAGTTATGATACTGTATTAACAGATGAGCTAATAAAGTCCAGTCAATAACTGAATTAAAACGGATAATTTATTACTGAGATGAAAAGGGGCCACAAACACATTTATAGGTTACTTCCCCACAAAAGAGGTGGTAAGATTTAATCATGTGTTTGAATCAGCAGGGATGATATTAAATAAGTTGATGTACAGGAAATAAATATTTAAAAGCAATAAGAATGCCTGAGAGCCTCACTTGATTATATTCTATTATAATTATATATTTTGAATTGTCACCTGCCACCTGAATTTTTAGACATTTCCACCATAAATTGGTGCAGAAAAGGCAGAAATTGGAGGAGAAATTTTCACCAAAATGCAGGAAATTAAGTGTTTAATGCTCAGTCTTCTAGGGGAGGACCCCCATACTCCCCCACTTAATAAGTGCCCCATCCAAGAAAACAGTATCTGGCTTCACACACAGTTTCTGGGAGGAACATTCACTTATTAGTTAAATTTAATTACTTTTCACATGGCTTTTTTGTTACCTTTTCCATGTTTTTATGATTTATTATTAACAGTAACAATAAAAAAAATCAACAATATTCAGGGCAATAGCAAACATCTTTTTGATGTGGGGCAGTAAGGGACCTGGATAATGGATAGGGGGGCGCTGGCCCAAAAAAGGTTGAGAAGCACTGACTTAGGACATATCACTGTTTGTATTAGACCACAGCATTCTTAGGTGAGCAAAAGTATTGGAACAAATAATCTAAAAATAATAACATTTAATATTTGGTGGCAGAACCCTTGCTTGCAATAACTGCCTCAAGCCTGAGACCCATCGACATCACCAAACTGTTGCATTCTTCATTTGTGATGCTATTCCAGGCTTTTACCGCAGCTTCTTTCAGTTCTTGTTTGTTTCGGGGTGTTTCTCCCTTCAGTCTCCTCTTAAGGAAGTGAAATGCATGCTCTATTGGGTTAAGGTCAGCTGATTGACTTGGCCAGTCTAAAACCTTCCACTTTTTCCCTGATGAAGTCCTTTGTTTTGTTGGCAGTGTGCTTTGGGTCATTGTCCTGCTGCATTATAAACGTCCTTCCCATTAGTTTCTATGCATTTTTCCGTAAATTGGCAGACAAAATGTTTCTGTCCTCTTCTGAATTCATTCTGCTGCTACCATCATCAGTTACATCATCAACGAATATTAATGAGCCTGTTCCAGAAGCAGCCATGCTCGCCCAAGCCATGACATGACCTCCACCATGCTTCACAGATGAGCTTGTATGCTTTGGTTAATAAGCAGTTCCTTTCTTTCTCCACACTTTGGCCTTTCCATCACTTTGCTAGAGATTAATCTTGGTCTCATCAGTCCATCAGATTGTGTTCCAGAACTTTTGCGTCTCATCTCTGTACTTCTTTGCAAATTTCAATCTGGCCTTCCGATTCTTGCTGCTGATGAGTGGTTTGCATCTTGTGGTGTGCCTCTACATTTCTGCTCTCTGAGTCTTCTTCCAACAGTGGATTGTGATACCTTCACCCCTGCACTGTGGAGGTCATTGGTGATGTCACTTACTGATGTTTTGGGGGTTTTCTTCACAGCTCTCACCATATTTCTGTCATCAACTACTGTTGTTTTCCTTGGCCGACCTGTTGGACGTCTGTTGCTCAGTACTCCAGTAGTTTCTTTCTTTTTCAGGACATTCCAAATTGTTGTGCTTGCTATGCCCAGTATTTGTCCAATGGCTCGGGTCGATTTTCCTTCTTTTCTCAGCTTGACAGTGGCTTGCTTTCTCCCATAGACAGCTCTCTGGTCTTCATGTTGGTTTATCCTCTTCAACAGGAAATGCTGTCTTTATAGGTTTGAACCAGGGATGAAAACTTAGACTAGTCATGCAGAGCTATTTAATGTTTGGACAATCAACCTAAAAGGCAACACCTGGGGAAACAAGAAACATCTGTCAGTCACATGTTCCAATAGTTTTGCTCACTTGAAAAATGGGTGGGTTCAAACAA